TTAAAAATTTTAATTATAGTACGGAACCGAACAGAATCGAACCGAACCGAACCGAACCCGAACGGTTCCAAAATTATATTTGGAACCGACGGTTCCATTTACTAAATACCCGAAAATTTCTGGAACCGAAAAAAATCGAATCGAACCGAACCAACCTGCGCCCACCCCTATTCACGATCAACCATCCACAATACATTAAAACAAGAGTCAAAAGTGACTGCGTATTTTTAGAAATTAGAACATACACTAAATCAGGTATTTGTATATGGGGTAAATAAGTCTTTTTGGTTGGTAACACGTGACAGTTATTAATTGGTTGACTTCTAATTACATTTATTATTTTATTATTGATACATGTTTTATTCATTAGCCTACATGTCCCTCGTTGATTGACTGTGAAGCCACACTTTACACTCATTCACGTGTATGTTGATAACAACTTTTGCTGATGTGGAATAACTAATGAAACCAGACTAAGTTATATTTGCACTGCCCCCATAAATGCTTGCTTATTTCATTGGGCTCACGCGTGATTTGATTGATCTTGATAAAGTTCACATTGAAGGAATAAGGATTCACGGTTGATCCTCACAATTTTTTACTCGTTAACACATGTGATGGAAACTCCAACCGAAAAAGGGACATTGAAAAAGCCCACTAAAATAAGAAAAATATAGATTCATTTATACAACGAATATGCATTTATAGAGTGTGAATACATGATAATATTGCACATATGTTGAGTAAAACTTTATGGTAAGTGGTACAAGTAATTATTAAATTTAAACTGAAGACATTCTAGGAGAGATTCGAGCTCGCAATGGATTCTTCATAACAGTCGTAAACTCTTGCTTCTCCGACATTTCAATATTGTCAGAACCAAGACTTGTTGTTGGCTCTTGAATCTGAAAACAGAGAAAGAAGTTGTCTGTCGATGAAAGAACAGCAATAATTTTAAGAATAACAATGAAAGAATGAAGAACCTTTTGATGGAATAATCTTTTATTTCTCAGAACTTCAATTTAAACATGAAAACATAACTAACCACTAATATCATGGACCTAGAATTAAGTCACGAAATTCAACACACCACTACTGAAAACAATCAACTCCTAAAAACTAGGAAACAAAGTTTGAAACATTCAAATTAAATAAATAATAGCTTCAGAACGTGGCAGCCATCCTAAACATCTCTTCTAACACTTGTCCATTCAAAGTACCAAATCGAATTAGCAACAAAATACTCCATGTGAAGCAGAGCCAGACCCCACCCGAGACATATTCTCCTTCCAACACCAAATGGCATCATCTTGATTTCTCTACTCCCCATTATGTCAAACTCCTCCCCACCATTGGCTAAGAACCTATCAGACTTGAATTCTATTAGATCCTTCCACACTTTTAGATCCCAAACCAGGTCTGCTACCATGAAATTCACAAGCCTGTTCTTTGGGATCATATAACCATCCAATTCAACTTCCTTTGTTACTCGATGGGGCAACACGAAGTGCCCTGGCAGGTGGCGCCTTAGGGCTTCTAACAGGGTTGCCTTCAAGTACCACGCACGCCATTTTCCAGTTATCTCACTGTAAAGCTTGGATTGAATATCGGGGTGTTTAACCAAGTTAGCCACGATCCACTACAAAGTTGTGGCAGTGGTATCGGTGCCTGAGAAATTCACTGCATAAAGTCACCATTTCCCATTCATCCAGCTTTCTGTTCTTGTCTGGAAGCTTCAAGTCCGCTAGAGCGTCTACATAGGCAACTAGTTTTGCATCTTGTTTCTCATATATGACTCTTTCTTTGGAGTGGAGACGAGTTCAAATCAAAGGTATAAACACATTTTCCTGTTCTTGGCTCAGTCTAATCAATTCATTCCAGCTATCACGAAACAAAAAATATTCCAATCAAGGGCAGAAGTTGAGCACAATAAAATGATGGAAATTCAAAAGCAACTGGCACTGCATTCTATCGATTTCCTTGATTCATTTCTCATTGAGTTTTTCCCGAAAGCACATGAACACCAACAAAGAGAACATAGCGAAATAAGTGTTCAATTATAGTTACAAACAATTCAGATGATTGAGCCACTACAAACCACTGAATAAGACTACTGAGTACGACTTCACATGAGACAAATGTAGAATCTCATAGGTTAGGTTACGACAGAGGATCCTCCAAGTGGCGTATGCTGGTTATTATGATCTTACTCGTCGGAGAGTTGTCGTGTGGTCAGAGAAGATGGCACCTTTTTGGACAAGAGCATGGTAAGCCAGGAAGTGACTATTGATGAATATTAACCTAATACGAGGGCCAATTCTAATGTCGATTGATGTGTACCATTTTTTGTACAACCTGATCACCCACCCGCGACCTCATGCTTGAGGTCAAGATAACCTTAAGCACTCTCCTTAGGCTTGAACATCATCGAGTTTTTGTGGTCGGGCTCAAGGTTATAATGGCCTCGAGTCTTCCCCTTAGGCCAAAACATTCTTGAGCTCGTGTGGTTGGGCTCGACCTCGGGCTTGAAGTCATTAGACATCTAGTGACCCCTTAATATCATTTTCCATATCTTTCTATCAGGTCCCCTAACCTAAAAGTACTCAACCTTTGTAATTTTATTGTCACCAAACTATGATTGATCTTACAATTATAGTAAAACTTCAATGTCCACCTATGTAGGACTCCTAAATAAGATAAGACATCCAAGTAACCCAATTTTATTAGGATTTCACTGCCTATCTTTATAAATACAATGCATTTGTTCATTATCCAGGTATGCTTTTTATATATAATTTCAGTATATAGGTTTTTGCATATTCTCTTCTCTCTAACTTAAGCATCGGGAGGGCGATAAGCACACACCCCGCCGCTTTTTTGTTTCAGGTATTGGAGATCCCCGTTCGTGCCGTCAACAGTCATAAAGCTCGGGTTTTTACAGGTGCAAACTTTGGTAACATCATTGGCGTTGTCTATAGGAATTACTACCAAAAGCCATGATTAACACACGTTTATGATACCTCATAGTAAACTCACCCGCTCTTAATCAAACCCCCTACTGAAGATCCTCCGGTGTCGCTAAAAGAATCATCAAGGTATCAACATCCCAACCAGTAGTTGTCACTTCCAAAGCATTTGAAAAGCTTCACCAACAAATTGTCATGCTAACTCAATAGCTCAGTTAAAGAAATCTGCATCCAGCACTAGCACCCTAAGATGGCTTTATGGTCGCTGCTCGAGCTCAAGCTTTTCGCCCCGTTTCTGATATTGGCAGTGCTAAAACCTCGGGCATACCTCCTCAAGGTCAGTTACCATGGACTCAAACAAACTTATAAGAATCATCTAAAATGGGATTATTACAAGTCTACTTCAGAATACCCAGGAGTCAACAGGTTCAACCCTAACACTCCATTGATTCTAGAGATTTTGTCATATCTTCTACCAAACAGATTTAAATTCTCCTGAATAAAGAAATACGATGGAACCACTGACCCAATCAACTACCTTAATGTGTACACAAACGTCATGAACTCGCAAGTTACACCAGACCCGGTTATGTGGAAAGCTTTACCACAAACCCTAACTAACACTACTAGGGATGAGTTTTCTACCCTAAAGCCCAATTTCATTGCCTCATTCTCAGATTTTGCCAACAAGTTCTCTACATTCTTTGCAAGTAGTAAACGCATCAGGAAGACCGTTGTATTCTTTATGCAGCTTTTCCAATGGCAAAATGAATCCCTACGTGATTTCATGACACAGTTTAATGCAGAAAGGCTCCAAATACCCAACCTATACATTACAGCCACCATCTTAGCCCTCATCTATGTCGTAAGATGTGAATTATTTAAAATGTCCTTGTCAAAATGAATCCCTACGTGATTTCATGACGCAGTTTAATGCAGAAAGGCTCCAAATACCCGACCGATACATTACAGCCACCATATTAGCCCTCATGTATGTCGTAAGATGTGAATTATTTA